TAAAAGTTACATTTATTTTCTACTCATTTTCAATTTTTAAATGCTTAAGTTTCCTTCTTATTTTTTTCAGCAAAAATTTATTAGTTCATTAAAAAATATGAAATATAGAAGTAAAAGAATCCCTCTTTTCTTCTTACGCTCCCAAATCATTATGCGAACATACATTTTTAACTTTTAAAACCTGAAAGCGCATGTGTGCGATGTTATCCGAATGCAATGATTTTGCATGTACGTCATTTTTTACCACGATATTTTCGACGACAATGTTTCTAAACTCTGAAATTATTGAACCGCCTTTATTTTCAACCACGATATTTTGTACCGCGATGCTTTAGAATTGCGATGTTTTTCTTTTTGCTTTCTTTTCTCTACGATGTTTTGTACCACCACATTTTCGCCTTGCGGTGTTTTCTCCTCGACGTTTTCGACGGACACCGTTTTTTTTCACATGCATACCGTATAGATCTGGGATCTCAACCTTTTTGTACCTTAGAACACATTCTAGAATATCTGTGCTTGGTAGGCATATGTATTCTTTTATAGCGAATTTATAGGCAGACATAGTTAATAATATCCATAATATACATTAAAAAAATTCAAAACTATAGTTTTAAGATAAATAATACACACACAAGTTACTCTTTGTTTTACAGTTCATTTGTGTAAAATTTCTGTATAAAAGTGTAATCCATAAAGTTAATGGAATATTTGGCATTTCATAAGCCATTGCTTCATAATTAGGAGAGTATCATGAAACTTTGAAACTTCTGCTTTTAAGCTATCTAGGTGTTCAGTAGAGATCTGTAGAGATCTGTACATGTGATTTTATGATATTCATCGTTAAAAACAATTACAAGTGTTAACAAATAGCCGGGTAAAAATGATAAATCGATTAGGACGCCAGGACCATAACTTCAAACTGGAAAAATTCTAAATTAAAGCAAGCCATCTGGTAGGCCCATTTAAAATTATAAACATAATTATAAACAAATGCTTTTTAAAAAATGCTTTTTAAAAAAATAAGCTTAAATTTCTCAAATTAATAACTAAATAAAAAAATTGCATAACATTTTATTTAAAACATAAATGTTTTTTTTCTATCCTAATTGCACAGCAGCGGGTACACGTAAAATCGTTGGCAGAAGTGAGTCCAAGAGCACATTAGTAAACTACGAGCTCAGAGAGAACATATAAAACCTTAACAAACCGTCTGGTACGAAGTTTAAATATGAATCCTTTCAGACTAGTCTTTTTCTTTTATTAATATTTTAAAGAACATTGACAGTTATGCTTTTTTAACACATCTTACTGACTATCTTTTGTTCCTTTCGAAACAAATACCCTTTTCCTTTTAACTTCTTCAGATTATAAAGCCTTAGCCACTTTCCTGTATTTCAATAATGCTATTTGACTGTCAATTTTTGATACTCATAACATGTATTTAATATTTAGCAGACATATTTTTGCTTTCGTATTGAAGCTGGAAGTACAAAGAGTTAAATTAATAAATAAAATTTATAATACCTTCTGCTACATTTTTAATCGTCTGAAACTTAAGACAGTTACACACTTAGATATGATATTTTTCAGTACATCATGTATTAACTTAGTTTAAGTATTACAGTTTCTTATTATGTCTGCATTCAGGTTCTGTGTAATTTAACTCTGTTGTCATATTCTAACAATGTCTGATATCATATCTTTTCAAGGAGAAGACAAGTTTAATATTCATATGCTGACATGCTTTGTATTTTTATAAACTGTCAGACTTCCTAACAACTTGTCTTCTCAAAAGAAAAAGGATCTCTGCTCGTCTACTGAATATTTCAGTGTCTGAGTGTAATGTCCTTTGAGTTCTCTAAATGTTTTTTATTTAAATGTCTTCGAAGGACAATATTATTGTTCAAAATTAAATTGCCTATTATCATTAACAGCTGCTTGCTACAGCATATATCTTATTTATCTTAGCATTGACACTTTGCTCTTTTTTAACTTCAGCACATCAAATTGTGTACTTCTTCAATTTTGTTTGACATCGCTTCAAACAATCAGGAAGATTATTGGAATAATGAAATTTATCCAAATTAAACATGTGTTTGTACTATTACAATTTGACCTGTTTTAAGCCTAAATATATGCTTATACAATTAACTGAAGAATTTATTGGCAAATAAAAGAATTAAAAATATTTTTCATAGCCCTAAGAACACGAAAAATGAACACTGTATATGAATGAAAGTACATCTGTATCATTTAAATCATTAATGTAACTTGCAAAATGATTGGAAAGTTGATCTGTCCAACTTAATTCCAAATCTGTTTCTGTTACTTTCGCAAATGGTATTTCTATCAATATTGAAATTTAAATTTTATTAAGTTAATTTTTTCAAATATAAATGAAGCTTATTAATGCGCTCTTCTTAATGAAAGTTATGGGAAAGAGCTTTTCCAAAAGCATGAAAAAATCAGAATTTCGAGAGGTCATATGATATTCTCATAGCTACCCAAGTTTAGAATCTGACGTTTTACACCTCTTCGTAAAGTGTTGAAAGTATTGATGTCGTAAGACTTCTTCTATCAAAAATTGATTGTTGTTTAAAGTATACAGCGTTCAATATCTATTTACTGTTCAGGTTTTAGTTGTCATCATAAAAAAAATTCCTTAAGTCCTAAAATATTTTCCCGTAGTAATTTTGTTGTTAGTATTAGTTTCTAAATCATTATGACTACTTATCTGGCGCTCTTTAGCTAAAACCGATAATATTAGGAACACTAATTGTGAAATAACACCATCATCATTGTGCACTCCTATTCGTGAAAATTGCAACATCATAGAACAATCATCAGAACGGTATGAAATTTATTCCAAATTCGTAATTTAGTGATACAAAGAAACGATTAAAATGACAGATCCAAATAAGAATATTTAATGCCACAAGCCAGTATTTAACAAAGCCACCATGATCTGCAATAAGAGCTCATATTCGTGATGATATCTAATTAAACAGGTTTTGAAAGTTTAACAGAGGAATAGTTTTCTATATTGCTTCTATTCGATCTCAGTGCTGATCCGCATAATCTGTGGGACGAGTATCACGAGCAAGCTCTGTGTGTCCGTCGAAAACGTCGCAGCAAAATACATCGTGGACGAAAACTTCGCGGGGAAAACAACGCCTGGCAAAAACGTCGTCGTACAAAACACCGTGGAAGAAAAACAAAGCACGGAGAAAACATCGCAGTTCTAAAACATCATGGTACAAAATATCATCATCGAAAATAAAACGGTTCAGAAGCTTCTTGGTAAAAATAAAGCGCCTACAAATCATCGCATGATTATAACATCGCAGATATGCGTTTTTCAGGATTTAAAAGTTGTGAATGCATATTCGCATATTGATTTATAAGATGGAATGAGCAATATTTTTACTTTTATATAATATATGTTTGAATTAATTAATAAAGTTTTGCTGAAAAAATAATAAGATATTCAAAAAGTAAAAATGAATAAAAATTTAAAGCTAGGTACTGCAGTTAATAGAATTTCAAACTAATATATTCAACCAATGAAGGTCATTAATTAATTAATCTCTTTTATTAAATTTTATTGGTAATTTTTCATGCAAAATTTAGTCGGAAGAAATTAGAAAAAGAAAAATGAATAACTGCATGACGTTACCTCTATTAAAACTGTTTAATTGATTATTGAATTATAAAATTCTGCCAACTGTTATAAGCAGTATTAGTTTTCCACTCATCTTCAGTTTCTAAAAGCTTAAGTTTCCTTCTTAATTTTTCAGCAAACATTTATTAGTTAATTCAAAAATATAAAAACAAAAACATTCCACATTTCTTCTTGCGAGCTCAAATCATCATGCAAATATGCATTTCCAGCTTTAAAAGCTTGAAAAAAGTATGTCTACGATGTTGTTGTCATGCGATGATTTGTAGATGCTTTATTTTTTACCACGATATTTTCGATGACGGTGATTTTAAACTGCGAAGTTTTTTAGTAGCTTTATTTTCGACGACGATGACGTTTCACTACGGTGTTTTAGAGCTCGATGTTTTCTACTTGCTTTGTTTTCTCTCACTTTGTTTAGATAGTGATCACTCGAAGTGAGTGATTTCTCTCAGTTTGTTTAGAGTGATACCTCTTTCATGTTTTGCTGTGTTTAGTCAAATAGTCTGCCAAATCATAGGAAGTTGTAATGAATGGTTATATCTTTTAAACGTGAATGGATATATCTTTTCAACATTTTATCTGTTTTCCAAAGTTAATTCCGTGATTTAATATATAAAACTCCAGGTCTGTCACTAAATTTCTACCAGTCCTTTTGCATTAGCAGATCTTCCAAATGACCATATTCGTGGACCACTATGGGGAAGCTCCAAGGTTCAAATCTTAGGACCTAAACTTCGCACTCTATTTTTGAATCGTTCATTCTTAAGATTCTTCTTTCCCAATAGTTATGGACATATTTCGAGCTACCTCTTCGAACCATTGTTTCAGTTTAAAATAATAAATTTAAGAAGCCGAAAATCGCGGTTTTTTGTATTGAACAATTTGCCGCAGCAAAGAAAATCAAGTTAAGAAATTCAGGCTAAAAGAGAAGAAACACTCGAGTTATATCGAATATGAGAACTTGCCGAAATAAATATACATTATGATAAAAAACTGTGGATCGAAATCTGAAGTGCCGCAGAAACGAGAGAAACTTACTTTATGATTACCAGTACTTTTTCTTATGCTATGTTTATATAGTCTGAGAAAATTGCTATAGTTAGCGCGTTTCAATGCATTAAATTATTTATTTCTCTTTTCAGTGGACACATTTAAAACTTATTAATGTTATTGTATTAGAATTCCTTTCCTTTAGAAAAGTCCTTTCCTTAAAAATTATTAATTAGAAAGTCCCTTCCTTAAAGTGTGTGTTATATGTTTATCTTAATTAACTTAAATTGTACCACTAATTAATTTTATCTCAATCCTTTTATTGCAGGAGGTTTGTTCTCAGATCTATGCAACTTTGTATGACTATCCATGCCTAAAAACATGTACTGGATTAGCGAATTACGTAAAAGACTGTGTGCGTTTATCTTGGTGTCTAGTAAATCAAAACCCTCCGTATGTCATAGACTATGAGGCTCGCACTTTTCGGCGTGATATGCACGTGCGTTTCCACACTTCTTCTCAGTCAACAGATGTCATCAAAAGTTACTTGTGGCCTGCACTGCTTGAGGGAGAGAATGGACCTTGTGTCCATAAAGGTGTTATTCTTACATAAGGTTAATAATTATTACATTTCCATTGCTGACTTCATTTTCATGAATTTAAGCCTCCATTCTGTGATTTAAAATCACTGATGTCACTTAGCTCTTATGTATTTAAGTTTTAATGCCATGTAATTTATTTTTTCATGTTCTTTCGTAACTGTTTAAAAATGCAGTTTTGTTCAAGTTTCTCAAATTTTTAAAATTAGGTTTCGATAACAAGGTAGTATTAATTCTTGTTAAGATCATTTCATTCTATTGTCCGAAACGTCTTTGTAAACAACTTTTTATTTTTTTTCTTATTTATGATATCTTTTATATCTACATGTACTTACATTGTTTATCAGTATTTATTACAATAAAGATGCAAATGGCAATTAAGAAAAGGTCTGATGGCAAAGACAATTTTCCAAAGTGTAGATAATTTAATACTGAGTTTGTTCATCCTTTTCAATAAAAAATTTCAAATTTTGTTTTTGTTATTTAAAAGAAAACTCTGTATAATTATTTAAATCAAACTTGAGTATAATGTATTCATTAAGCACGATTGTATGTACCATTCTCTATCGAAAGCTTTAAGCTCTGTTGCCTAATGATCGACATATAAAACAGAATTTTAAACTAACTTTTCTATAACTACTATTTTACATTTTAATGGAAAACATTCCTATTTTTTCCCTCGTAAAAAGTACAGTAAGCTCTTAAAGAATAAATTTAAATCTTATTATAAATAAAACCTAAATTTCAGCTTATTTACTTCTGCTATATCTTTAAATTTCAAATTATGAATTATTTTTTTTTCATTTATCTTTTATTTCTTTTCCTCGGCGTACAAGTACCAGAAAGTAACATTCTGTTAATTTGTATCATTCAGTAATAATATTCTAGTAAATTTAAAATAATATTCTGGTAATATTCAATGTGTCATTATCTTAATTTCATATGTTAACTTAGTTTACAGTCCTTAGGTTTTAACTCATATGTTACAAATTGCTTTTAGATATAAATTCAGTAACTTCTCTAATTTAAACTAAGAATCTTATATCATAATATTAAAGCACTGTAAAATATATTAACGAGATTTTCTTATGGAGCATTTTAAATTGAATAATTTTTGGTGAATAATTCTCGTATTAGCTCGAAACTGGATGAAATTATTTACAATTCAGCGCGTACTTAATTTTAATAAACTTCATCGACATTAATTGGCTAAACATTATGTATTCCACGATCATTTCAATGCAGAAGTAAAATAAATGAATAATATACCACATTAACTTTTAACAGTTTCAACTGTTTTTCTATTTACGTAACTTCACTTCGCTGTAAATTAAAGTTTTAAATCATGTGAAGGTTTAAAACCGTAATATTAATTTAAGTTCTAATTCGAGTTACATTAGCATTATTTTCTACTGATAAGTGGTTGTATGATGTTGCATTAACAAATGATGTTCAATTTTTAATTTGATGAGATTGTAATAATTGTTTAAAAGCAACCATATTCCATTTAACTAAAAACCGTGAAGCCATTTCGTTCTTAAAAAAATATGTAATGCACATCTATGTACTTTCTTTACGTTTAATTTTTTTATTTTTGTCCTCATTATTTTATGTCTAAAGAAAGATAACCACGCTGTAACTGTAACTAAAGTTATAGTTTTCTTCATTATATCTGAAAGCTGCTTTTATGTCGATTCGTTATTGTTTTACCTTTTTCTTTTCTTTTTTTTTCGGGGGGGGATGTATTGGTAAAACTTTCTTGCTTTACTTCCCTAAAATTAGTGTTAAAATAAATAAAATATCTTCTTAACCTATTTCGTAAAAAAATATACACTAAAAGGATAAAGTCATTTTCCGTGTATGTAAAGTTTATAATATAGAGATATAAAAAATTATAATTAGAATCTCTTTACTTAATGTGGATCTTTTTCAAAACTGCACAATAAAGTTAACTTTATTCACGGTATGTCTGATTAAAAATGCCTTTTCATAAAAGCAAATTACAAGTACATTAATCTGTTTAAAAAGGTTTGTTTTATTTGTTAACATATGAAACAGAATAATTAGACTAGCTTTCAAACAAGGGAGAATTTTATCTTTAAGTTGGGATTATTTTTAGAAAAGATTTGTAAGAATTTAGTGACAATCGAGCATAGATGCTTTTTCTTGCGGGATAAATAATTTTCAGTTTAAAATTTTGTGGAAGTCTGAGAGTGAACTTTGCCTATTTTAAAATGGCTGAATTGGACAACATTTTAAATAATCTAAGTAAATTCACATTAATATGAGTTGATTTAGCATTTTGAAATAAATAAATGTAAATCACATCTGTTTAAATAAAAGATACTGAATTCGAATATAGAAATAATTAAACTTTATATTCAGAGTTTATTACAGAATTTATTTAACATTTCCTTTGCTTCATATTTCAGTTTTATATTAAAATAAATAAAGGAAGGAAGACTTTTCTAAGTTCTTTAGAATTTATATGTATTTTTACTTGAAGATCAAGTCATTTTGTAAAATCATCATTTATTGTTATATTGTAATTCCAAAATTAGTTTTCAAATAAATACTGCTTCCTTCATTCTGTTACTTCATAAATAAACATAAATATTCCTTGTTTATCTGACTTTTTAATTCTCATGCAAACGCATTACTAGTAAATTAGGTATAACTTACCACGCTTATAATTTATCGAAACAGCCATTCCTACTCGTTTCCCTAGAAACATTTTAATGTAACCCATATTAAAATCTACATTCTTCACTTTAAACAAATTTCTTGACAAACTTTCTATGGTAATGCAAAACGAAAAAGGAAGATGAAAACGAAAGTTATAAAAATATAGCAATTCATATAAAATATTTACTTGAAATCAAGTACTTAGTATGAAAAACTCATGATGAAGTTTCCTTTCCTTCATGATGTTTAAAACATAAATATGTATTAGTATCATATGTTGTTGAATTTATCTTTTATAAGAAAGAATATTTTATACATGATGTGGAATAATATTCAGTTTTACAGATTTCACTTTAAGATGCATTAATAATTTAAGATGCATTCACTTTAAGATGCATTTGAACCAACAGCATTATCTTTAATTAAAGCATATCGTCTGCAACTTGTATGGTTTATTTTAATAATTAATATTTACGCATTCATTTGATAAGCATTTTATACGTATTTAAATTATCTGTTCACAAAGTGGAAAGCACATTTGACTTATTTAATATTAACCCGGACAGAGTAAAGTAAAACGAAATTTCCTATGAATTTCTTTCCAGTATTATTTTTCAGTTCTTAAATAAGACTGTTTATTTTTAATAATGTAATAATATATTCAAAATTCTAGTAAGCTGATGAATGGGCAGAACTCTTCAAGTTCTGTTTCCATAACTCACTAGCATAATAGCAGAATTAATATAATTTTTCACTTCCATTCAAAAGATTTTCACGTAATTTGTAATTTTTCTTAAAACTGTTTAATTCGTAGGTGTTATTTCTCCGTAGTAACAAACATCATATTGTCAACTTATTTTATATCATAATTTGATTAAATTTTTAATAAAATATTTGTTAAGTTCTTGACGGAAACATAATAAATGCTCTATTTCTGTTTAAATACGATTCCTTTTGAGAAAAAAAGCATTTTACGGATTAAGAAGAAACAACTTTCTTCAAATGAATTAGGATGTCAGTAGTCATTTATTCCTTATTGTTGAAGTGTCACAGGTTATTGCACATTTAAATATATGTTCTGCTATGTTCCGACATTGAAGCAAACTGCATAATAAATTAAACTGTAGCAAAACTTTTAGAGAAAAATATTCTTTTTATACTCAGATGGTTGTTTCCATTCCTGTAATTTAATTGTAAAAATTGCGCTTTTGTCGTGAAATAAATTTTATTAACGTCACAGTGATATTTTTAGTTTAGTTATTTTCTATACCTTTTCTCATTTACTCATTATTCTTGTAATTAGCTAGTATTGTTTCTCTGTCTTTGAACCGTTTATTTCAGTTCCTTCGTGGTACCCAGTTTTTGTACTGCAGATATTACTTAGACTCTTTCAGCTGCATACGTTCTTCTTTTGGTAAAAATCTATCTTAGTGAAGCATGTTTTATGCAATCTGTTAAATCTAGTTTTTATACTCCTTTAATTGCAGTAAGGAAGAAATATTCATAAATATTTTCATCTTATTGCAGTTCAAAAGAGTAAACATTAATAAACGCATTTCTTAATGTGTAAAAAAACTATTTCTCACATGCGATAAGCATGCCATAGTTTCAGATTATATTGTTGCTAATAGTTTGCTTAGTATTTTTAATATACCAGACAAATTGTCCAAACGTTATTTCTTAATGAGTTAACAAACAATTTCTGCCATGCAACTATACGTGCAGTAAATCTAATTGAGATCGTGTTAATTCACTTTTTACAATTATCTGATCTTGGAATTTCCGTTTGTCTCATGAGACCTGTTTCTTAATATTGCAAGTAAACTGTTATGAAAATTTGAACAAAACGTGTTTCTAAACTGAATTCTTATGTCTTTATTGGAAATGACACATATTGCAACACTTTTCTTAACCTCGGATCTAAGCATAGGAGAATACCACAGCTGCACAAAACAGGGTATAGATATGCTGCATGTCACCTTGTTCACAGAAAAAAATTAAAGGCTATCTTTAAAAGAAATAGAAAGAATGCCACACCTTGAAGTACTTCGACTAAAGCATTGAAGCAATACTTTAAATGTTATTTTAAGATATTTTATTTTTTAGAAACAACTATCATGCATTATGTAATCTATCAGCAAAATAAAAGTCACCTAGGGCAAAAGAACACACATTTAAGCGTAAGCGTATGACACACTTTATTTGAGATAAATAAATAAGGTGTCTGTCTATACGTCAGGAATTAAGAGTAACTTAACGTAAGATAAATCCATTAATTAAAATCACAATAATAACCTTGTACTTAGCATACATATATTAAAACACTCAATCGATTTCGAGGGCAGCTAAAGGTCCCTCCTCATCAGGAGAACGAAATTACTAGAAAAGAGAAATTCATTCTCCTGATGAGGAGGGACCTTTAGCTGCCCTCGAAATCGATTGAGTGTTTTAATATATGTACGCTAAATACAAGGTTGTTATTGCGATTTAATTGCCACATTGGCGTGTTTTTCTTCCATTCTATAAATCCATTAATTCTTAGGAAATCTTAAGATGCAGGTAATGAGAAATCTAAGTAGTTTACTAGACAGGTTCCAGAAACTGAGTCACCAAAGTTCGAGACTTCGATGTGTTGAGAAGATAGTGAAAACGTCCTCTAAACATAAACTTCTACGGCAAAATTTATGAGTTGCAGGACTTTGAATATCAGTAATAGAATAATGTACAAACTTGCTGTCTTAGCCGCATATGAAAATAAAATGTGCTGTGGGAGCAAGTTGTGAAGCG